ACAATAATGGACTATAATATTATTCTAAACATGCCAATAAAAGATAATTATAATATCCGATGTTCTTTGGGTTGTTCAACTCTGAATCAGAATCATAAAAAAACCCTTTAAAAGGAGAAACGTGACAATTCGCACTGAAAGTGGGCGGCCCAGCGGTTGATTGTTGTGAAAATTTACAAATTTCTGCTAATAAGTCAGTGACTTTAGTTTTTTTTTTATATTTTGCTTCCATTACGTTTGAAAATGAAAAACTGATTTAATATAATACTGCCTTGGTAGACGCCGTCGCAACGGTGCAGGAGCTAGCGGTGTGTGACATTTGTACTAAAAACTACGCCGGCGACCGGACTCAGACGCCTCGTACTCTAGGGTGGACCCGGAACATGTAATCAAGGACCTTGAATCGACACTGAAATAACACAAAAAAAATAAAAAATAATAATAATAAATGTCTCACATTACTATTTTTCCTAGAGGTAGTTGAAAGAAAAGAGAAAACAATAATTTTTTTACTTTGATTCCCACAATATAACATGTTCTATAGACTTTTTTTATGTCAGAGGGGGCAGACGAGCAGACGGGTTACCTGGGCCTCAATCCTGCTATTTTATGTTCACGCTAAGCCACTGTCATACCACTGACACGCTATTGAGATGCCATCGAGTGGCCATTGGCATCGGTATAAATATCGGTAGTTGAAAATATATTACGTTTTTTGAGGAAATGATTTAATGTTTTTATTATAATAAATTATTAAAAAAATAAAATATTTAATACTATTATTTTTTAAACTATGATATTTTATATTGTCATCGGTCCTCGATATATCTACAAAGTTCACAAACTCTTTTAAAACTTTTTTTTTTCTTAAAGGTTTGAAGGACTAACAAAAAATCATATTAAAATTATTTTTTGAACAGTTCTTCAAAAAACTATGAAAGATTAAGTTATTTCATTCTAGGAGGTTATTTAAAATGAGCATACCTATATTTAATCGTTTATTATCAAGCTTATATATAGTGTAGGTACGAGTATATATCTATAGTTGTTTGTTTCTAGGCAATTACATTATAAATAATAGATTGGGTGTGCAGTGACGAATGCGGTACAATGATAAACGGCTTCATTGTAATTATAATTGATTTAAATTCCTTTGTTTAAATAGGCTGACTCCATGAAAGAACCATGTGTGAAGGTATTTGATCATCTGTCGCGTGCCAATGTAAATACTAGTCGCCGACAAAAGGAGAAATCGTTTCGAAGCATTTGAGTTTATAATGTAATACTATGTTTGTTCAATGCTTCGAAGCAAATAACTTTGAATAAGTCTTTTTTTTTGTTGACGGGGTAGAAAATCCCTTCGGATCTCCTGCTCCTCGGGGACTCAGGAGCCAGGAGTATTTGGTGATTCCGCTAAAAACCGTCATCGTTAAAACGGGTTATTGTCTGCGGTATTTCCGGACCGATACGACCTTTAAACCTTCAAGAAAAGAGCGTACTCCTTCCTAAGAGGCCTGCAACGCGTTTGTGACTCCTGACCCGCTTGCTCGTCTACCCCCTCTAGCATAAAAAGAAACCGGCCTCAGGTGGCTCTACTCTGGGAGGACCCGGACCATGTCATTTCAGGTCCTCCCCGACTATGAATAGGTCTAGATACTGATTTATTGTGATAGCGGGATCGGTCTTCACAACAACAGGTAGTTCGAGTATGTAACCCTGCCCTTCTCAAGCAATTACTGATGGCCTTTAAGGGCCGTAAAGACAATATCCTCTTTGCCTTCTCTTCTCAACAAAATTTTCTATTTCACACAGTGGAAGTATATTTACCCAAGTTTCATTCCCTAAGGACCTGGTCTGGTTTGGTTAGTGGAAACTCCACATTCTCCTGGCTCCTACATCCCCAAGGAGCCGGAGATCTGAAGGGATTTTCCACCCCATCAACAAAAAAAAGTATGTATCTTCGAACGTGATTTTGATCCACTTCAAAACGTCGAGTTAAATTAAAACTTTGCATCCTTATCAAGGACCTTTTTCTTTTCCATACCCAAAAATACGGTAGTGTCTTTTGCCACGTACTAAGGCGTGTGCTGAGGCATTAGTGATAAACTTACTTGTTACTTTTTACTCTCAATAAGATAAAAATCATCATTAACGACCAAAAAAAAGGAAAAATGAAAAAAAAACTAAGTAAAAACGCTTTTGTAGCTATCCGAACTAAAAATTAGGAAATAATTTTCTATAAGTTCAAAAAGAAATATTTTACCGTAAAAAAGCGTGAGGTGCTTTTCAAGGTATTTTATAATATAATATTTTTATTTTGCCCAATTTATATCAGTAAAATATTTTACAACAATTGAGATCTATCACGTTTTTAGGGTTCCGTACTTCAAAAGGTAAAAAAGGAACCCTTATAAGATCACTTTCTTGTCCGTCTGTCCGTGTGTCACCGCCGATTTTCTCAGGAACAATTACAATTCTCATCTACCGCAAGTATCCTATAGGTTTCGGGTCGAAAATCTATATGGTTGTTCCCTTTGACCTAGAATCTCGAAATTTGGCAAAAAGAAACGTCTTACAGCACAAATAAAGGAGTAAGTCCAAAAAATAAAAAAAAGGTGAAAATTAAGAAAAATTTTGGTATGTACTTACAAATTTTCGCGAAAAATTACGTAAATTTGGGTAGGTACGGAACACTCGGCGCACGAATTCGACTCGTACCTGACCGGTTTTTTTTCCGAGAAAATGATCTTTCGTTTTGAACTAATAGGAAATTAATTCCTAATTTTTACAAAAGAGTGTTTTTTTGTTATTTGAACTAAAAATTTATTTTTAGTACAACAAGCAGTCGGGTCACCTGATGGTAAGTAACTATCGCCGTCCATGAACACCTGCAACTCAAGAGTCAGAAATTAGGTGCCGCCCTTTGAGTCTCTCCCTCTAGAGTTCGGAGGAGAACTCGCCCTTTTTTTTCCGTGCGGAAATCCCTTCGGATACCACCTGTCGGTGGCATGTCGGACTCGAACCGACTAAAGTCTCGGGTACTAATAGCCGGGGAACCAGGTATACCCTAGGAGAACTCCCCCTGGGTTTGGGCTATGCTAACCTCTCTCTGCTTTCTGCGAGGCCGTGGTATCACTCCAGTCGAGCTTGCCCATTCGTGCCGAGACTTGGCTTTCCCACGGACTTGCCCCTATTCCATGAGACTACGTTATCGTGTAGTACTTCTTCAACTTGTATGAAAAATTTCACGATATATAACCGTCTGGCAGTCCGTCTGTGACCATGGCCAGTGCAACCTGATGTATACTACCTACAGTGAGCGCGTTCATTCCCCTTCCTTTTTTTTTTTTTTTTTTTCCGTGCGGAAATCCCCTCGGATACCACCTGTCGGTGGCATGTCGGACTCGAACCGACTAAAACCGCACGCCGTCTCGGGAATATAGCCGGGGAACCAGGTATACCCTAGAAGGGAAGTCCCTGGTGCCCCGACACGCGTTCATTCCCCTGATAACAATTATAATTATATTGCAAAACATGATAGTTTAAGACTTAAAAAAAAACAGATGATCGGTTGAGTAGTTAGAGGGTAAAAAATAACCCATAAATTTACTTTTGTATTTACTTATAGGGTTTACCCTATAAGTAAATACATAAAGGCTGAAAGATAAAAGATAAAACCTGAAGAAATGTGTTTGTTTACAGACACTTTAACTTCCGTTCAATTTTAATGTTATCTCTACTGTTCCTAAAGTAAAAAGAAAACAATATTGAAAGGGACTAATTAATCTTAGACACTTTTATGAAGTGTTTAAGATTAATTAGTCCCTTAAACCTAAGTTTAATTAGTTAAGTTTATTAGGTTAACTAACTGAGGAAGCTGCTAATGAGTAAATTAGAAACGTATTACCGTCGCGTCTCGTCTCACAAAAGGACAGAATGGTGGTGCGGGAGCGATCAACGTTCATAGACGTCGAGTTATATATATAGGATTAAGGTACAAAATACAAAAAGTACAAAACACGATTGCATACGATGTGTCGTATGTTAAGATCACGATCGCTGAAATTTTTTATCAAAAGTAACGATCGAAAATTTCTTCTAGATTTGTGGATGATTTTTTTTTTAACTTTTTGTTCGAAATTTAAGTTTACGAAACAATTTTAAAATATTAAATTCTTGTGATCAACGAATTTATACTAGTGTGTTGTGTTTTGTTTCTGGTTATGATTGGGCCGCTGAGGATATAAAGCGGGCATCGCATAATTCCGCACAATACACTAAACTTTGTATGAATACCTAAACACTAAATGTACGACTAAATACTAAAGTTTAAAATGTTCATGTATTTGTAATCGAGCAATTGATAAAACCGTTTAGTGTAATTTACTTGAGTTAAAAAATATAACGTTAAGAGGCTAAGAGACTGCTCGATTTTAATCAAAGCTTCTGACTAACTTGCAGTGTGTGTGATAGCTATAATTTTTTAATGTACCTATCTTATAGTATTGGGAAATCCTTTTATTATTGGAAAAAACATTAGTTATATAGAAAGGAGTGGTTACCTCAGCCCGTAAGTGAATATAAACTGTGTACTTTAGCAATAGCGTTTCTACTAGCTATCTAGAAGTAGGTAGGTACGCACCACACATACATATTAAGTAGGTAAACGTAATGAGCCATGGTTAGGTAGGTATGTATGTATCATTCAATACCTAAGTGACGTGACAAAGTTTTTAATTATTAGACGTGAAAATCGCCAGGTGCGAGTAGGAGGGATTTCAGTGGCCCCCATTTGACCGTCGATTGCCATATTTGGCACGGCTTGCGTCTAAATATGGCTCTGGCACTGCCCACCGCCCCGCCGCTGCGCCCGAGCCGCTCCACTTCCGACTCTATTATTTCTATTTACGAAATAAACTCAAAATAAAAGCTCTATTTTCATACGGATTTCGGGCACTGAAACGTTCGCAAGTTCCCGGCGAACATTCGCTTTTCTACGGATGTGTCGGGTTACGACCGCGCTCAGCGTTTTCGTCCCGCTTCACGAGTATTGCGTGCGCCGTGCGAGACAGAGACAGATAGAAGTCGAGGCGCGCGGGACGCAGTCGCGCGAAGTCAGTTGCGGTCCGAGCGGCCGAGTCGTCAGTCCCGCCCTCGGTTCTTTCGCGTTTTCGGTCAGTCCTCAGTCATCCGTTCGTCGTTCGGACGGTGAGGTGTGAATTGCGCTTGCGCGCACCGGTTACTGTGGCGTACTGCGAGGTTATAATGGACGCGCCCGGCGGAGCGCGGGAGCCCCGCTTTGGGTCGCCGTACGGTATGGGACTACTCGGCGATATGCAGGACATGTACAGCGCAGGCCGGCCGCCAAGTGCACTCGGTGGCGGCGGGCTACGGCCTGGCATGCAGCCTTGTCCGATGCCGCGCACTGGTGTCAAGAGGACCTCGGACCAGTGCTACGACGAGCGACCCTCACAAAGCGTTGGCCTCGACCACTGCCCCATCTCCGACATAGCGGACGATGGCTATGCATCTCTCCAGCCCAAGAAATCGCCACCTTCTAATGGCAAAAAGACTAAGGGTCGTGTCAAGATCAAAATGGAATACATTGACAACAAACTGCGACGGTACACGACATTCTCCAAACGGAAGACTGGTATTATGAAGAAGGTGGGTGGCCGGGACCGGTTTTGGCAATATTCCATATGGGTCATCTTGGAGCGCTGGCTACTTGCAACCAGCGCTAGTGTCAGAGTGCATAACAATGTAAAAGTTTATTGCAGATATGAGTGGTTTAAGCTATAAATTTATCTCCGTATAGGTCAGTTATTAAGAAATTTTGTGTTCAAAGTTCTATTGTGTGCGGTGTCACTCACCATAAACTGCATATAGAACTGCTCTCATTTACTCGTGGCACAAATGTCTTTACAATCAGTTAAAGCATTACTAATGCCAGGTAATTACAGTGTTGTAAAATAATTAAAATAATAAACAATTTAAGTTTTTACAAAGTTGTTTGTTGATGGGCCTTCTACAAATATACTAAATGTAAATGATCAAGTCCCAGAAACATGGTATGTGTTATATATGTAACATTAAATCTAATTGAAATGAAATGATTATCCCTATTGTAAAAAGTAATTACACAGCATTGTAATAAAGTAGTACTTACCAAAATTACTACTCAGTATCAAGGGATGATTGACATAACCGAAGTGATCAATGAATTGTTAAAGCCACATAAACACAAAAATCCTAAATAATTGGCAGGCCCCATGGTAGATACATTAAAATAGTGATATATGGTGAAATAAATCGTGAAATTAGTTCTAAAACACAAGAAATCAACCATTGTTTTGAGTAGAGAGGTTATATCTTGTTCAACGCTGAAACCCATGGAATATTGCCGAAAACGTGACCCTATGATTTTTTTTCTTTTATTATTGGTCTATTTTCTGTTCGAAAAGCTCGTAAACATGTGTTTTATGATTATTTATTGTGTTTTTGTGAACATTTGTGATGAAAGTTTTGACAGCTGTCAGCTGTTTCGAGGTTACCTCTGTGAGTATTTTATAGTTTATTTGCAAGTTTACTACTCGTGTTCGTCATCAATTAATGTGTTTACGTAATTGTTGTAACATACAATCCATTTTGCAGTTTTACAGTGTAATTTTAGTCAATTATTCCATAAATAGAAACTGTCATATTTTACTTATGAAAGGCGTCGGGAGATGGCGCTACAAGTCGCAATCTGTTTACTATCGCAGGCATAGACATAGAACTCATTTTAGACCGTTTTCGTCGTATTTGTAGTTCGTTCAAAAATGTTTTTCATTTGCTGGTTATTTTTACAGTATTCTCTACCGTTTAAACAGTAATAATTCATGTTTTCCCATGTACCTATTGAGTTGTAATGTTTATCATTCCGTCAAAACTGCACAGTTTGGTTGTAGAACATTGTTTCAATATTATTAAAATAATTAAATATGAATACGAATAAAAAATGTAGGCACCCCTGAAAAATAAAGAAGAATATTTCTCTCGAATTTATGTTTTATAATCCGTGGATAAAATCAATATAATAATTCCGTGTGGTGACGGATTAAAAAAACGGAGTGTTACCACTCCTATTCACTCCGTGTCGTAAGAGCCGACTGAGGGAGCAAACTACGCAAGAAACAAACCTTATACCAACCCGTCTGGCCAGCGTGATATAGTAGGACAAAACCTCCTTTCTAAGGAGAGGCCTATGACCAGCAGTGGAATAGTAAGGGCTGTTGATGATGATGATGATTTTCTAATGAATTGAATAAGGGTAGTCTTCTTTTATTATAATCGTCGTGAATACCTATCGACAACGCTCTTATTAAAATTGGCCTGAAAACGTACTAGTGACTCTTGCAAGTGTCAATGGACACCGGAAGTCGCTTACCATCAGGTGCACCCATCTACTCGTATGCCTTGAAAAAAATCATCTTGTTACAATATTATATATTGAATTATGTACCTAACTATTAGGCTATTAGGATTTAAAAATTCGAAATGTTGGCATTACATTATTCTTAGAGATAGACAATATTTTTTGTCTATGAATAGATAAAGGTATTTAATATAGAAGAGGCTTGTGGCTAAGTAGTAATCGAGTAAGTTAGCACATTGCAAAGTTAAGCACTCCTGGTCAAGTCAGTCTATGGATTGGTGACCATTCCTGAGATTGATCCGTGCCTCGTAGAGCACGTTACGCCTTCGGACCCGGTTGCCATACTAACATCTGTGGTGATCTTTATGGTTAGTTAGCCCTAAAAAAAGTGCGGCAATAGTCGTGATGGTTGTGGAGATCTGATGGCATTCGCTCGAAGTAAAAAATCGAAGTTCAACCGTATCTTAGTAGACTTAAAGCCGACCCCAACCTGGTTTGGGAAAAAGGCTCTGAGGAAGATAAATATTGAGCACGCTATCACACCATAGCATTGTAACTATTAAGACTGTGTTTTGTTTGTGGAATTTAAAAATCGCTGCCTTAGTGGGTTCGATTCCCGTACCGGGTAAAATTTTAAAGGGGTTTTTGAGAGGGAAAATAGCCTAAGTTATTCCTTATATAGACAGTTACCTTTTAGTAAAATATTATCAAAATCGGCCCAGCCGTTTAGAAAATTACTCGCAACAAACAGAAAGACAGACAAAGTAAACTGGTTTTTAGGCATAGGTATCGTGCAAATAACCGAGTGAGCATTAAAAATATATATTATTTTGACATTACGAACAGACACTTGAATTTTGTTTATTTGTATATATAAAAGCGGTAAAAAAGTGTTCAAATGGTTTAATGTATATCTATATAGTATAATATATTCCTTTTAAGATCGCATTTGCTTCCATTAAAGTATAATGTAATACGCATGTACTTAGTTACTTCAATAAAATGATTTAAGATGTTCATGTTTTATCATAATACTCGTATAATTCATTGTAGTATGAATAAATCACAACACGAATAAATATCACAATCCTGACCCAGTCTCATTAGAATTTTTTTAATATAAATTTATTCCGTAATTAAATGTAATTCACTAAAAACATTCTTTGTTAGTTTAAATTTAATGCGCTGTCGTACAGGTCATATAATTATCATGAAATAATTTGCTAGACTTTGACAAGGATAAAACATTTTAGAAATGTGGAATTGCTTCCAACTTTATAATGTTATAACATTATGTGCTTATATTTCATCGTAGAGATGTTGTCCGTGTGGTAACGGATTAAGAATACAAATTATCACCACCCCAATTCATCCCGTGGGTGTCGTAAGAGCCGACTAAGGGAGCAAACTAAGCAGGACAACAGCACTGCAAAGAGAAGGAAAACTTGAAACAAACCCTATACCAACCCTTCTGGCCAACGTGGTATAGTAGGCCAAAACCTCCTTTCTAAGGAGAGGCCTATGTCCAGCAGTGGACTAGTATAGGCTGTTGATGATGATGTTGCTCCACTCTACATTCTCTATCGCATATATCATGGAGAGTGCTTCGAGGGATTGTTCGGATTAATACCGACTGCAACTTTCCGTCATCGTTCCACAGGCAAAATTTCGATCCCCATCATCTCGATAGGTGGAGCTCCACTACTATGCGCTTTTTGAAACACTTTTTTGCCTCGCACAACCAATCTGTGGAACGGGTTATCGTCTGCGGTATTTCCGGACCGATACGACCTTCAAACCTTCAAGAAAAGAGCGTACTCTTGGCGATGGGCACTTTCCATCAGGTGACCCGTGTGCTCGTCTGACCCCGCTGACATAAAAAAAACTGCGATTTATCCGCTAAATTAATAATATAAAATGATACAAAATATAATTAACCATACAACTCACATAGATAATATGGGTTTAGTTTTATCACAGAACAAAGAATATTATTCCTTTTTCTGTGGGTTTTAACTTGACATCGTTTGAAAATAAAGTTTCTCTCAGCATTACGCTATCTAATAATACCCTTTTTTTTTTTTCCGTGCGGAAATCCCCTCGGATACCACCTGTCGGTGGCATGTCGGACTCGAACCGACTAAAACCGCACGCCGTCTCGGGTACTTATAGCCGGGGAACCAGGTATACCCTAGAAAGGAAGTCCCTGGTGAGTCTAATAATACCCTAACTTTGATGAACTTAGCAAAGACAAGCGGAATGGCGTTCTAGAGTTTACGTATACATGTGTGTGTAGGTACGTGGTATATAACATATTAATTATTAATTATACATACATCATAGATTCTCAAAATACGTGACTCCAAGGTAATATTTAAAGTCCGTCAAGAATTCTATTTGATGCGTATCTAAAGTTGAATCTGCAATAATGTGAAACGTCTCTTCGGCTATATTACACAGTTTTATTAATTTTTACCTTATATTTTAATATGTAAATCGAAATCGTATGCAAAAAAAATCTGTTGGGCAAGGCGCAAGTGCTTTATTATAGCATACTAAGTTTTGTTAAAAACGTCATAAACAAGCATTAATTTTTATACACAGCACATGTCAAATTATATTTTGACAGATGTGACACGAAATGAGAGATAACGCCACGTGGCATTAAGGCCGCCTCGTGCAAAGTGTAATGCAGGAAATGTAAAAAATAAAAATAAATGAAAGATCCAACTATACATTATTTTTCAAGATATGGGTTCAACGAGCATACATACAGGTAACTTAAAATTTGACAGTGTTGCTAGATTCAAATTTTAAAGAAGCGGGTAGCAGGCATTGGGAAATAAGACAATAAGTTCATATAAATAGTGTTATATCAATAATTTTTATATCCTTTACGATACGAATCTACATTCACATTTATAGTTTCACTTTTAAACTTTCGCGCTCTTTTTATCATTAAAGTCTTCTGACTATGTTGATTCTTCTGTTTTGGTTTCTACTGATTCTTCCAACAACTAAGACAACTAAGGCAACTCACTAAGAAGGCCTCAAGAAACTCAGTCCAGTCTGGGTATTAACGCAATAATATAATAGGTATTACATAATTTGAATTGCCCGTAGTCTCGGCCAGAATGCACTGGTCGTGGTCACACACTTATCTATATTTTTTTATAAAAAACAATCAAACATCACAAACTAATCTTGGCGTTATGTTTTAAGTTATTTTAAAACTAATTGCTCGTCTGCC